TAACCCAGCCCGGCTGTGCCAGTCAGGAACAGCCTTGTGTGGTCAGATGGACCTGGTGATGCAAGAACTTTGGAATAGTCCTTCCTCAAGGAGGAAGACCTGGACAACAGTAGACAAGAAGGGCAAGAGGGGAGCAGAGCTCGGTTTCAGAGCAAGGCAAAACCCAAACACACAAAAATACCTAAATATGGGAAACTTAACATCAAAATTCAGGTTCCTGACATGAAACCTGCTCCTGGACTGGCCGATGAACTGACGGAGGGCAGTTTATGTGCCTTGGAGGCAAACCTGGCAGATGGGTTGCCCAGATGGGTTGCCAAGTGCTCGGTTCCCAGCCCAAGCAGGACCCGTCGGCTGGCAGCTGCTTGCAGGGCCTGTGGCAGCAAAGCAGAAGCACCCACAGGTTCCCACAGCCAGGGGCTCCTGGTGTCTCTGGCAGGTCTCTGTAGGAAATGTAGACCCTAGAAACACCAAGTCCCTGACGCAGTATGCTAGGAATCCAGGCAGGGCTTTTCTGGAAAAGCTGTAGGAGTTGGGATGTTTTCCAATAGAGCACATGAGGCCCAACAAAGGAGTGTTTTTCCCTTTCTGCTCAGTGAGGCAGATGCCATAGCGTGCAGGACTTCTGCGGAAACTGCAGACAGGGTCAAAAGCAACGTGCCATAGAAAAGCAAGCTCCTTGTCACAGGCTGGGCTTCTAGAAGAAGGGAAATAGCAACCAGGCAAATTAAGGAGCCAGTGGGATCGGAGGAATGAAGAGTCTAATAAATGGGGATAATAAGGAAATCCTTGCAACGCTGTTTGTGTTGCAATTAAAGGGCCAGTTTGGAAAGTCCAGGTCAGTTGCCCAGTTGCCCATGCAAAGCCTCAGCTGAAACACGTGGCTGTTGTGAGTCTGTGGTTGGTGGGGTAAAACTGCAGCACCCTCTGAAAAATGTGTGCACCTGGATGGACCAGGTCTGTGATGAGCAATCATATCTCTGCTCTGTGTGACACAAGCCGTCTCCTCTGCCAGTCGGTGGGTGCTAAGGTGGTGGGCAAACGATGTTGCAGGGGAGAAATCCTGATGGCATACACGTGCGCTTGGGTGCTCCTTGCTGGCAGGACGGTTTGGCCACGTGAGAGGTCTTACATTGCAAGACTTGACTGCAGCCCTGCCACTGTGCAAAGAGCTAACTCTGTGGAATGCCTCTTCAGGTAGACACAGGTGTAAGACCCTGGAAGAAGATGCTGCTACTGTTGCATCTTTTAGATGTCCTTTGTGAAAACACTGAGACAATTTTACATCACTGTCAATTCACTAGCTGCCCTGGAGTTATTCCATATGTCTTCATGCTCAGGACAAAGGCTCGAGCTCTTTCAATCTGGTTACTCCTCTAGATTTGTAAATCTGCTACATTTGAGCATCTTCAGGAAGCTACTGGCATTTCTGGGGTTTGCTTTTAAAGCAGAAGTGCTGCATTAACTTCTTTCCCTCAGTAATGCCACTATTTCTGCTTCTGCCTTATATTAAAAAGATTCTGAACTTGTATGAATGTTTCATAAACATTTCTTATCACTGGCTGTCACCAGCTCTATTGGTTATTTCTGGGATCTCCATTGTCAGAGTTTTCAGTGCTTTAATACACTATATATATATGCTCAGAGCAGTACAGAAAACAAAGGCAGATTTATTATAAGAAGCTCAAGTGTAAATCAGAAGCTGAATCTGATAAAGGCATTAGCACAGAGGGTTTCTGAAAAATTATGAGTTGGAGAAGCCAAGAAATCCAACAGGCTGATGCTATTCCAAAAACATCTTGAGCTCTCTTACTTCTTTGAAATATCTAAGCAATATAAATGAGCACATAATTCCCACTGACAGTGAAGTTCCCTGCATAGTATACACAGCTCTGGCACCATGTGAATAATAAATATGGTGTAGAAGAAGATGCCAAGAAGCAGTCAAAGTTCCCATTGTCTGTACAGACAAATGCTATCATTGCATTGCAAGATGGCTTTAGCAGCAGAAATGTCAGTCACATGCAAGGATTGAAATCCAGTGGGAACCTCTCCCCCAACTTTCAACCCATGTTACTCCTTTCCTATGAAACCTACAGCAGAGATGGCCAAAGAGATGTGGAAAACATGGCCAAGAGGAATTGCATGACTGTACATGAAAGGCAGGAAAAAAAGCATTGGAAAGCTCCCTCCCAAGCAGGGTGAAAGGAGAGTTGTCTTAACTGGGCCAGGGTCATTTCTTGGGATATCAGCCCTCCAAGTTTCTGTCCGCATCCCTGGATAGTAAGAGAGGAGGATGCTGCCCCTTGTCACCACTGCACTGGAATTAGGATTGTAAACAATGAGATTGTTTATCCCCAAACTTCACCCTTGGCTTTCCAGCCAGCCTGCTGGCAATCCACAAGCCCTATCCAAATCAAAGTTTGGCTGTGAATTTTGTCAAACTAAGCGTACAGGGAACAAACAAGGTAGCCTCTGGCTGTTTCTCCTGTGCCGGTCTCACACACAGATCTGTGTCTCCTACAGTGGCCTATTTTTGCCAGCAGCCAAGAAGTGCTACTGACTGTTTTACAGGTGGGATTGCTATCCTTCCCTGTTTTTCTGCCCAGGACCTTACTTCTGCTCAGGAAACTTCAGCGTGGAACTTGCAAAAGTCCTTGGAGAGGGAGTGAGCACAAAAACATGGGAAAAAATTAATCTCAATGGAAATCCTTGACTAATTGACAGGTTGGAATAAGAATGACCATAGACCCCAAACTATGCCAGGCAACCAGTCTGCTCCAGGCACTGCAAGCTCACTCAGCCAGCCACATGCCTGGCTGTTTTGCTCTGCCAGCTTTACAAGGCCTAATTAGCTCTATTCCTTTTGTTTGTAATTACAAAAGCAAACAGCCCTTGGAGAGAGAGGGAATAGAGGAGGCAGCTCCTTGACTGACCTTAATATTATAAATAAAAGTTTGCCTCTCATCAGAGGTACTTGAAAATATGAAAGGGATGAACACAAGAGCCCTGATGAATGGAAAAAGTTTTCTAGGCCAGGCAGGGACATGGGGGATAGAGCCTTGCTACCCTGGGGAGGCATCAGTACAGGTTCAAAGATACCATCCCCAGCTGGAACCATTCTCTACCTGGCCTGCAAAAAAAGTACACCTGACCAGTTGTGTTCATTGTTACAGCCAGGAGAAGCACAATAACCTCCCACAGAGGCTTTAGAGTGAGATGGATCCTCCCAGGGCCCATCTCTTCATGATCCTGTTAACCCAGGAACATCAAGGAACTATACATAAGAGTTTTTAAGAGACACATACAGATCAGCAGGTCTCTTCCTGCTCTGGAGGCAGAGCATCTCATGCAGATAGTCACAGCCTGCACATACCCTGCCCCAGATAAAGCTACAGAGAGCAAAGCACAGCTGAAACACAGAGCATCTCTCCCGGGAGCACCCTGGCTCCACACCCCATCCCTTCCCCATTCCTGCAGCTCCCACTCCCCTGCAAGGGAGCCATCCGCCCTCCCCCTGCCCCTTCCTGCTCCACCCAGGGTGCAGCCTGCCTTGCGAGGAGCAGACCTTCTGGTTCCTGGGCTGCAATCGTAGCAGATTACTGGGTGAGTTTCTGCCAGAGGCCACAACCGCCTGACTCACCGCAGAAGATCTGTCCCCACCTATGTCTGCTACAGATACACACAGCTAAACAAGCTCCATGCTAGCAGGCAGGCTCCCAAAAGCCCAAGCCCCCTCTTCTCCTCCATGCACACTGTCTAAGTTCTGCTCAAAAACAAGAAATGAAGTAATGCAGTCTGATTTTCCTTAAAAAAGTCCATTTATTGAAATTGTTTAAACACTTTATACAAGTTCCCAATACAAGCGTCTGCTCCCTGGCTCAGGGTTAATGCAAATACAAAAGCACAGACTTCAGCAGCTCTTTAATGTGACCTGAGCCGCCACCTCCTAAGACGAGGTCTCATGAGGCAGCTGCTGTGCACAGGCAATTCCCCATGGAGAAGTGGAAGCCACATGACCCAGCTCCAAGTACAGGCCAACATCAACTCAAGCCTGAAGCAAATGCTCTGGTTGGTTTCTTTTAGTAACTTTCTGTTGCAGAGTCAGGTCAAACAGAGGTGCAAGGCTTATACAAACCACCAATGCCATGGTTGTATATAGCTCAGCCCCAGAGGCTCTCCCCGTCTACAGAAGGAAATCAAGAAATCTGATGCCTCTGAACACATACACAATTATAAAGCCAGGTCAGAAGCAACCAGTTTCCTTCTGTAGAAAAAGCAAGGTTGAGCTTTGGAGAACTGGTACCATCCTTCTAGGAATTACAAGACTTCACTCCTGTCAACCTCAGCCAGTGTTAGTCAAACACTAAGTGGCTGACTGGGTGTTTCAGAGGAAGGGGTGGGAACCTTTCATAAGCTGCATTTTTTAAAAAAAGGTATGACTTAATATGCAAAGATGGCTTTATCTTTAAAATGCTAGTTTCTTCCTCTTTGGTGAGTTTGTATTAAAAGAAAATGCCATAACCTTTGGGTCAGTTTCCTTGGAATTTGCCTTCATATCATCACTGAAAGTGTTTACAAGAAAAAAGAGACAGGATCAAATGGCAGAATGTGAGGTATCCTTGGGGAAACATCAGGGAGCAGCAGTGCATTCAGTTTGGTTTAACACATTTAGCTGCATAAGGCAAACCCAGATCAGTAGCTAAGGCCAAATGAGAAAGACTTAAGGAGAGTGTTTGTTAAAAGGTGGCCTGTAACGCACACAAGGGGATAAAGCTTCAAGCTCAGTTAGGTACTAGGGTGGGAACACAGAGAAACAAGTACTGGCAGCACTTGGTGTCTAAGGAACAGCAGCAAGAGCCCCACCAGAGACACCCAGTGAAAACAGAAGGCAGTCGTTTTTCTTTAGCTCTTCCCCAGCACCAGGGAAACCCGCAGCTGCTTTGGGAGTCTGCTAATCTCTGTAGTCACGATTTTTGCAGCCTTTTGCTCAGACACAATCAACTTACAAGATCTTGTCAAAAGAGTGATGACACACAGTTAAGCCGAGCCACCTTACACTGCATCTTCTCTTGGCCAACAGCACATGCATGGACAGTTACGGATTTCAATTTAAGTCACAGCAATTTAATTGTGTCTGACCATTTGCCATGCCAATCTGCACAGAAAGGAGGGTGCTGAAGATGCCAATAAGACAGTACAAGAGCATTTTAGATCTCCTCAAACATTCCTACATGTAAAATCTTTTCCCTAAAATTATGTTTCCCCTTAAGATATTGGTTTCATCACTTTGTATATAATATATGTTCCTTTAATTTCTACACACACCACACTGGGCTCTAACTTAATGGGATATGGGACTGAATTGTTACCATCTATTTTTTTTAAAAAACTAAAAAAAAGCACCAACATCCATCTAAAAAACAGTATCTTTTCCCTTTTACTCCCAAATACTAAACTTAACCCAAGCTTGGAGGTTTCATCTTTCCAGTGGCAATACCTATGAACCCAGGCTAGCCTTCCTCCACGGGCTGGGAGAGAAAGGAGATGTCCAGTAGCAAAGAGGATTACAAAAATATACACATTTTTGGGAGAAGAGGAAGGCAGAACCTAGAGTCTGAACTCTGCTCAGGACAGTGGCATTGTAGTGTCCTCTCCAAAATGCTTTCACTACCAGTGCTGGTGGCTCCTCTTCTTTGTTTCATTATACATAATCCTTCCCTGTGGAGGGGGCATTTTTTGGATAGCCTCGGGTGGGTGGATACGAAGTTTCTCTCCGTGGACAGGAGCAGCAGAGGAAGGCTCCCCCCAGCATGGCCAGAGAAGCAGCTGCCCAGCCTATGAATAGAGCTGATCCAAACTCATATCTGGGGGAGAAAGAAGGAAGAAAGTGAATACTACAGGTAGTGCCTCTGGATGACAGTGTTAGCGTGTTCACGCAAAGCAGAAGGGAGCTGAAATTGGGATATTAGGGATGGAAGTGGCTTCCTGCAAGGCAGCAGTTTGGAGCAGCCTGAGACCCAGGTGACCCTCAAAACCCAGAGCTTTGTACACTGGGTTAGTTCACTCTGTTAGCCCACCCTGCACAGCTGCAGCAGAACCAAGCTCTGTGCAGACCAGGCCTTAAGCATCTAGTGGAGGAAAACTGCAGAAGTCACAGCAGTTAGGGCTCTGGCAGTGATGCTGCCTTAAAACAAAGCCAAGACTTATGGAGCCACGTGGATGATGAGATCTGGTCCTAATGCTCTTTCTGCACAGTTTGAAGCCAACCCAGCTAGCTCAGGAAATTCCCTTCTTTGTTTTGAGCCACTGCTACTCAAAACTAAGCCCTGTGAGCATTTGTCATGCTATACTATAGTGTTATATCAAATGGGTGAGTACCTGGCATTGACGGGGGTGAAAGGGTCATAAAAGGCCCGAGCCACTCTGTTGCCAAACCACGATGTGGCCACCAGCGCTGCCAAACCTGCACACGAAGGGAACACAATGGAAGAAACAATCAATAAAATCACTGCAAAAATAAGTGTAACAGAAGCAGCATCCGGAACAATGCCGAGCTGCTGCTACCCTGGGAAGTTCTGAGCTGTTAGTGCTGGTTGGGAGAAAAATTAAGAAAGGATTTGAGGTCACCCACAGTTACATTGCAGCAAAAGCAGGACTGCCGACAGCCTTTCACTGAAGTAGGATGTACAAGTCAAACTCAGCTCTGCTAATAGAGATGAAAGGCATGCAGTCCATATAGAAAACATAACGCTAGTGCCAAGAGACCCATATGATGCCTCGGATAGTCAGCAGCTACTGTGCCAAAGTCTGCTAGGGAATTCCCAGCCCAAAATGCTCTTACAGCAATGACAGCAAGCCCTCCCCTGTCCTCTGGCACCCTATGCGGGATAAATGCCGTTTAGGAAATGGCACATTTAACACTAAACACATCTGTATGTTACCAACCTGCAATGATGAAGATGACCCCACCGAAGACAGCCATCCGCATTTTCTTCACCTGGTCATCTTCCATGCACTTCATGCATTTCATGCCAGTCACAGAAACAAATACAGCGACAAGGCCCAGGAGTATTGCAGCCACCATCAAAGCCCGAGTGGCCTGCAGACTACCTAAAAGACATTAGGATTTGAGTTACCACAAAGAAAACTCAAGATATGAATTCAAATTACTGGGCTCAGTAATCACGTGTCAAAATACTCTGCCCCCTCTTACACAGGATACAACCAAGCAAGACATTCTTTTTTAGCTTTAAGCTCCCAGAGACTGTGACGCATCAGGATCAGAGGACTCAGCCTCTTCTAAAATGCATGGCAAAACAAGGGCATGCAGCTTTTTGCAGGAAATGACCTGGGAATTGGCCTCAGACATCTTTTGTTCCTTGATCATTTGAATCCCAGTTAGAAGGACTTATCTGTTTATCAAAAGAAGTATTCAGATTTAGGCTCTACCTTGACAAAGCATTTAGGCACATGTTTTAATATGAATAGTGCCATACATATGAATAGTCCCACAGCAGACAGCAAGGCCCCTTTATTGCTCAACACTTCCAAAACCTGTCTTTTATACAAATACTTCAGTGCTGATTTAAATATTTTGTGTTAAATCCTCAGTTTGAGAGTCCCTGAGGGTACAAAAATACAATTGCAACAGAAACAGGATTTTCCTAGCCAAGTGAAAAATAGGGGTTGTTTTTATACCAAAAAAATATTTAGCTTAGACTCAAAAGATATTCAAATGTTTTAAGAGCCTCTTGCACTTTTGAAGAATTGGAGCAGGGGGTAATGCTTCCTGCAGCCAAGGGTTCTATTCGCCTGGGTTGTCAGCAGACAGCCTCAACGTACTTTATCCAAGATTTGGTTTTCTGTTGATTCATCTGAAAGCATAGACACACTAACCCTAAGTACATGGGCTACTGAATTCAGATTTTCTTGATACCAACGGAAAAAGAAAATTATATAAAGTCTTTACTGAAAAAATCAGGTGACAAAACACCTGAATAGCAGTGAAATAAGAGCCTGAGCTTTATTGCCTGGCAAGTCGGGTTTGTTTGAACAGCATGGATTTTAATATACAGTCCTGTTAATATCTGGGAACAAACAGGGCTGGTTAATCAAGGGAACAAGCTCCCAGGAGCATGCTGTAACCAAGGCAAAAGTGTCCCCTGACACAGAAGGTTATCTAGCAGTGACACGTGTACAGTTTTAGCAAAGTACCACCAGAATCTGTTCCCAAGTCTGGAGCTCACCCCTCAGAAAGCACACTGGCTGCATTCTGCTAGAGCTCTGCAAAGCGCTTCAAGCTTGGACAACTGCAGCTGCAAGATTTAAGCCTACAACCGAGCACCTGCAAACTCATCAGTCAGCACTGGTACCGAGAACCCAGCAGAGTCTGTGCTACAATAACAGGCTCTTTGGCTCAACCTGAAACACAGAGAGGAGTTCAAATCTGATACCGGTCAGAAGGGTAGCACAGCCGCACACCTATCCTCTACAGCTTCTTAAAATTCTTGTGACCCACACCAACAACAGGCTATGAGGCTCTAGTACTGCTTTAAAACAGATCCATATCTGCCTCTACACACACCACCTTATTGTTGTGTAAATAACTACGAAACCACTTAAAAACAATGCAATAAAAAGGTAATATTCAGAGCAATAGGAAGTGACACACTTTCTTAAGAAGAGTCTTGGCTTTCTTGGGAAAAATCCCACAATCAGCTTGGCTAAATGTCATCTCACTTCATTCAAAGGGGAAAAGTGACACACCTCTGCACCACCCAGGTGTTAATCAAAACCCATCTGCTGCATCAATTGCCGAAACCCATTTGCAAAGCCATTTCAGTTTAGCATAAATCACAACTGCACTATCCAAACACATTTTTAAGAGATTTATCTCCAACATCAGAGATTGCATACAAAATATAATTTCTAGTTTACAAAAGTTACGGCAGTTTTCAGAAAGACTTCAGCTGACCGGTTACCACCCAGGCAACAATTCAACTGCCATACATTTAAGACTAAATTGCACATTACAGCAGCAGCTCTGGAGAGGCCAATGGATGAACACTAGTTCATACGTTGCGTGGGAAAGGACATTTTCTGCAGAGGTACCAAATCTGTTTCGAGTCTACAGTAAGTTGGGCTTAGTCTTGCTGCAGAAGAAATTACTTTACAGGAGAGGGTTTTGAAAGAGGTCTTTCATGAAGCTGAAAATAGGAAATGTTATCTCAACTAGAAAACTAGTTATAAGGGTGGGAAGAGACCTCTCACCTTCAAACGTGGTACTAAGGGACAAACACAGGAAGATGCTTGAAAAAGTTTCTATGACCTTAGAAGACCTAACTATGAAACCTGCTAAAATCTCAAGATGTACAAGTATTAACTGGATGCATGCCATGACAGCTTTGCAGAAGCAGCTGAACAAAAAGCAGCATTGTGAGTATTTCCCAGGGCTGCCTGCTTTCAGCAGCAGACCCTGGAGGGACATCTCCTGGTGTCCTCACCCCCTCCCTTATGCAGGGCTCTAAGCATGTACAAAGCTTGCAGTAGGACAGAAAAACAGGTTGGAGCATTTGCAGAACAGACTGTCCATTTGTTTATCCCAAGAAGTTTTAGTGTGACATGACTCTGTTAGCCAACCATCCTCCCCTCTACCCAGCCTGGCTGCCCCATGCTCATAGTACACACTGGGAGACAGAGCTTTTGTCTTCCTACCACTTTTGCAATGTGTGCAGTACATTGACTGCAGTTAATCATCATACAAGCTATTAGTTATTATGTACACATTAACAACCATGTTGTCAATGAAAGCTACACATCCAGAGGCTGAGAAAGCTAGTTTAATAATAGTTCTGTTGTCCACATGGGCCTTTTCAGGTGCTTTAAAAAATCCCAAGTGAAATAAGTATAATATTGTCTTAACCTGCTAAACAGGACTGGCTACCAATAAAAAAGTAGAAGTACTCTACAGCAATTTAACTTTACAACTTTTGTCATACTCGAAACAGGATTTCCCCCACACTCCTTACTGCTGCAACTGTCTTGCCAACAGGAACAGGTAGCCCAATGCTTGTAGCCTCCCACAAGATACACCAGGCTGTCAGAAAGCCTGGCCAGTCTCAGGAGACCTTGGGGAAAAACAGTCTTGTACAAGGAAAAACAAACTGGCCTGGCACCAAACAACAGCTGTCAGATGGCAACAGTATTTTGTCAATATAAACCACTACTGACTTGGAAGCCAAGCCCTTTTATTGCTGATTAGTAATGAGAGACCCAGCCTGAAAAGCTTATATAGCAAGAAAGCAGCAAGTACTGAAGAACAGAGACTTAAAAACTACTGAAGATGGTTAATAACAAAAGTGAATTCTGCAAGCCATAAAACCCTGTGTAAATCCACAAAGATGGCACAGCACCTCACATGCGTTTTGCATAATGAAACCCACTTTTTTATAAACATGCTAACAAACAATTCTGACTTATTGTTAGTGGGTTTGGACACAGACTACATGATGCAGTTTATCAGAAGCCTACACAAGACTTTCTCCTTCCCACCAGTATCGTTACCCAACAACAGAAGTAATTGCTGGCAATCGCTTAGTTATCAAAAAATAGGACTTCACCAGCATATGTTTGAGGTTTTTCTGTCATCACAATTCCTTATTTATTCCATTTATGTCATCTACATCATAGAAAAGCTGTTGAGAAAGTGCCATGGGATTTTTGTAATGCCTGTTTGTAATGCCAAATTGCTGTAATGGTGCTGTGTGCAGATTATTGTCTGATAAAGATGCTCATTGACTGCCTTGTTTGTATTTAAATTATGGACTTTTCCTTCCCTTCCCATGGGCCTCCATGCAATCAAGCGATGACGGAATACAGGCGAAAGAGATGCTGCGCTGCTCCCTCTAATCTCTACCCGGGAAGCTCCCCAGGAGTTACAAGTACCCCTGTAGTGTAGGAAGCATGTTACACTGCCCACCTCCAAGAGAAATCAGCAGCCTTCCAAGCCTTGCCACTGGAGTTTCATGAATGCTGAATCTCCTGAAAGCAGTGGGATCCAAGATCCTGCTGTCCTGCCCTGCCAGCACGTGAAAGTTACTTTTGTGCAGCAGGCAAGGGAATGAAGATCCGAGCAAGCAAAACCAGCTTCAGAGGTAGCCAGCCAACATCTCCCACTTTGCAGTCATTCTGGCTGGACCCAAGAGCCTGCTAATGGCTTGGAGGCTTTCAACCCCCTCACCAGCCCCTGAAAAGACCCTGCACACCCATCACCATCAGATAGTCTGGACTCCTTCAAAGCACTTCCCCACAGTCTAGAAGACTGTACAGAGGAATCTGGGCAGAACGCAGACTCAGACAGGGTCATGTTTCTTGCTAAAATGGGAAGGCTGGGAAGTCCTCACTGCATGTCCAGTGCAAAAGAGGCGAGTTCAGTAGGTGGCCTTGTACTCTGCCTACCACAAAGCAAATAAGGTTCAATGCCCTCCTGCAGTCACCCAAACAGCAGAGAAAGCTTGCCGGTAAGACAGGCAACACACAGTACCACCATTTCCAGATTCCTGGTCAGAGGAGACCTGGGCAGCCTGTTTTCCCACGAGGCCTGGAAATTCCCTTACCAAGAGATTTAGTAACACATAGTAACACTAGCTACTAAAGCTGCTTAGAAGCTGCTTGTAGAGCAATAAAGCCAGTGTATTGCAATAGACTCCCATCCCCTCTTGCAGGGACAACACGGCACAGCACAGGAACAGCTTCGGTGGCATTCCAAGTAACTCTGCCTTCTCAAAGCATGGCACAAGTGAGACTGTTTTATCACTCCATCATGATTTTTCATGAGGAAGGAACAGGGATTGAGAAATATGGGAGAAAATTAACCCTTAACCCACATGAAAAGCACAGATACCAGCAGGTTCTACCAGCTTACTCCAGATCCAAAGATGGAGAGGTGACAAACTATTTGGACACATTTGTCCCTTGTACTATAGCGTTGTCCCTCCCTGGGCCACCCTCCCAAATCCCCCACCATCATGACAGAGCAGGAGTAACCTAAGCATGAACCCTTCCTTCCCCCACCCATCTCCTTCCCCAGCTCCTGGAACAGGCTCAGCCAGGGTTCTAAAGATGTAGGAGGGAAGATTTCACATTTCAGTGGTGCTGTTTGACCCAGAGGGCATCTAAACCCTTGTTTATTTTCTGGGCTCGGGCACAAAGGCTCATTGTGGATGTACTAGGTTTGGTGATAGATGAGTCTCAGCTTGTCTCAAGCACAGAACCTCTCCCAGCAAAACCAAACAGGGTGATGAGTATCTTCAGCTAAAACAGCCTAGACAGGACCCAGAACAACCTCTGTTCCGAACGTGAGTATGGTTAGGTGGGCCTGAAAGCTTCCAGAGACAGGTACCAGGAGCCCTTCTCCCTCCTGTCTGAGGCCATCGCCCTGAGACCCCGGAGGAGCACAAAGCTCAGCTAAGCTCCGTGGACGATGCTGGAGGGCTGCAAGAACAATGCTGAGGCTGTTCAACAAAGCCTTGTTGCAAGGGTGGCTTTTGTTGCCTCTATGTCTGCATGTGGCCACGCACTGCTTTTCACGTAAGCCAGCAAAACGCAAAACGCAGCCTTTCTATCGCTTGAATAGGAGCACTGACATAAGCCCTCAGCTGAACGCAGCTGCGGGAGAAGTGCCAGCACGGGTGCACTCCAGCAGTGTGGCCACACGGGAAACTGGAGGCCCCTCAGTTGGCTACCAGTGCTTATCAGCTTGTACCAATCCCATCTTCGACACGCAGCATCAGTCCAAGCAGCCAAACACTGACACATCTAGAAGAATGGCAATAGCTACAGATATGCAAAAGCTTGCTGGCAAAGCTTTCCGGCATTCCCACAACCATGAATTACTACAGGTGCGAGGAGGCTCAGTCCTTTCTATAGGGACGAGGTAATTACAGATCTGAGCCTCTCCCATCTGTGCATGAGGCTCTGACATGTGGCTCAGAGCATTCAGGGCATACGAAACTCTGGCAGGAAAGCGTGGCCAGGCAGGAGAAGTTTTTCTGTCCACATAGCTGTACCACCTTCACGCCAACATAAATGAATGCGGTAAGGGAACTCTTACCGTACAGCTGCACCTGTCCCAGGGTGCGGCTGCTGAATGGGGTATAAATGGGTTTTTTTTTTTTCACACCTCCACCCACAGCAGCACTGCCGGTCCCTGCCCAAGCCTACTAAGATCCTGAAGGGAGACCAGGCAGGGAAAACAGCAGAGAACGTGTACATTCCTAGGCATGATCCACTTTCAAGCGGGAAAGGGGCAACGTAAGCGAGCTTGGGTACTGAAAAAGCGAGGATTCCTTTAGCCAGCCCTCGCTGACTTTCCCAACGAGGAAAACATCCCCTGCGATTTCTGTATTTCTTGGGCTTCCTGGGAATTTTCAGGCAAGCGTGCCCTGCAGGGCGAGGGGCTCTGTAGGAGCACAAAAGGCCACTAACAGCTCAGCCTCGGTCCCTGGCACCTCACACCTCCCTCCCCCGTAGCCCTGGAAGAGAAGAGCCCTTATTGTTTGCCGGACAAAGGTGAGGGGAGCAGCCCGTTTTCAGCGCTCAGCCATGAATGGGCCAGGTCTGGAGGTCCCGAGGCAGGTTTTTAGGAGTCTGTTGAAGCCAGGCTCCGCATCGGATTCTGCGGGCAGGTCTCATTTCCAGCACAATGGGCTGCAGACACACACGAGCCCCCGAGGCAACTTTACCTTTCGCAACCCACCCAGGGGGTAGGCTGGAGATTCCTCAACACTGCTGGCATCTTCACCCCCCCCACCCCCAGTGCGAGATAAGAGGCTTGAAGCTGAGCTTATACATAATTACTACTCAAACCACCCCAGACTGTGTGCTTAGCCCAGCCCTGATCATCCACAACCTTGCACCCTGTTAGTGCTAGTGGGTGCATCGCCCTCCTCTGCCAGCTCTAGGGTCCACGGACGTTCGGGGCAAGGGAGCAAGAGTGATTGATGTGGGCTAGCAATGAAGGTGGGGTCTGGGGTGTCCGGCTTCGCTACGTGACACACAGGAAGGGTTGGTGGCAATCTAAGGCGGGGATACTCCCAATGGCCCCCGGTTTGTGTGGAATTACCTGCTCGTTCCGTTGGGAAAGAGAAGGTGACCAAGGTGGCAATTATTATTTTATTAATTAGGGAGGGAGAGGGATGAAGGTGTTCGAGGACACTACTGAACTCGGGATGAAGGGAGGGATCTTGAGAAGGGATGGGGTTTTTTAACCCTTTAGGTGTCAGCATAAGTTACATGCTCCAGCGCTCTAGAAACAGCCCTCAGAGGGGCTCCAGCTCTGCGTGACGGCCCCGAGTGACACCCCAGCAAGCCAGGCTGCAGATCCTGCACGCCTGAGATGGTTTTGCCATCCCAGGACAAGATAAGAGACCTAGAGATTACCTTGACGTCCCGGTCTGCCTAAAAACTCCGGGCAGCGGTACCTGGGCTACAATCCAGCTCACCTGCCAGCCCTTTGCTTAAAAGCCCCGCGGGAGTAGAAGCGACTTTCCCAGAGAACAAAAGACCAAAACAGTCAAACGCAAAAAAGGATCCGTGCTCGAAAAGACCACTTCAGCACCGCTGATGAACTTCGCCTCCTGCTGAGCCATGCCCCACGAAGGCAGCCCCCCTCTGAACTTCTACAGCCAAAACCTCTTGTTGGCAATCACCGCGCTTTCCTGAACACAAGGGGAGCATCTGACCCTTCCCCTCCCGCGACGTTTTTTTCGGGGTACGGGCAGCCGCCGTGCGGGCAAGGGCTGCGGGACGGCTCCATCTCCCCCCCGCCCCGGGTACTGCCCCGCCGAGCCCCCCCGCCCGGAGAGGCGGTCCCGCCGCGGGATGCGCTTCAGCGGGCGCCGCAGAGCCCCGGCTGGCCCGAGGGACAGTCACCGGGGGGGCCACCCTCAGCCCCGGCGGGGAACGCCACCGCGGGAGCCCCAAAAGGACACCTGAGCCCCGACGGGACGATGGGTGACCCCGAGCCCTGCACCTTCAGCCTCGAAGGGACAGGCGGCGTGGCTCCAGCGGGACAGAGACCTTGAGACCCGACGGCACCGGCACCCCCGGCGGGACAGGCGCTGGGCGAGGCGGGTGGGGGGGCGACAGGACTAACACCCCCGGCCCCAGCACTTCAGCCCGAGCCCCGACACGACCCGGCGCCAGCGTGCTGGTATATGACCCTGCGGGACCGGTACCCTCAGCCCCGCCGGGACAGGCACTGGGGCGCAGGAGGTGACCCCGACAGGACGGACATCCCAACGCCCCGCATCCCCCAGCCCCAACTTACTCTCCAGTTTGAGCAGCGAGTCGAACACCTTGCACTGGATCTGCCCCGTGCTCTGCATGGCGCACGACATCCACAGCCCCTCGTAGAGCGCCTGGGCCGTCACGATGTTATCCCCCGCGTAGGATGCCATCTTCCACTGGGGCATGGCGGTGCTGATGATGATACCGATCCAGCCCAGGAAGGCCAGCACGAAGCCCAGGAGCTGCAGGCCCCCGCTGGCCATGTCTGCGCGGAGCCGGCCCGGCGGCGGGTTGAGCTGCGAGGGGGGGTGGGGTGGGGTGGGAAGCGGGAGAGCGCGAGCAGCCCCGCGCACCGCACTGCCGCCCGCGCGCCGCCCCGCGCCCCTTTTAAAGCCGCCCC